TCTGTGTCCTCTATTCTGTACCATTGGTCCACCCGCCTGTTTTGGTACCAGTACCATGCTGTTTTTGTTACTATTGCTCTGTAGTACAGTTTGAAATCTGGTATTGTTATACCTCTTGATTCACACTTCCTGCTTAGAATTAGCAGGATTCTTAAGTCCTAGGCTTACTCCCAGCTGGGGACTGAAGAGTACCAAGGTTCCTTCTTTTAAAAAAAGCCCTATAGAACTTCTATATTATGTGAAGATATAGTCCCTGAAATTAAATTCATGAGATTAGAGTATCTGGATTAGAGGATAAATTTGGAGAGATTACCAAGAAGGGAGCACAAGGGATAAAGAGATGGAAAATGTGAATGAGGAGTTGAGATGTGAAGGATAGAAGGGGTGGAGCCACACAAGTCCCAACTAAGTTCCAGAAGAGCAGAGAGTGTAAGGCAAAGAAGCAGCCCTCAAAGAGTTAATGGCTGCTATTTTCCCAGGAGTAAGTCATACACACTGATACTGAAGTAATCAGAATAAACTGAAATACATCCCCCAAAGGATGCTTTTTAAAAGTGAGAAAAAACAAAGCTCTTCAAAGCACCCTGAGGGGGGAACATTGCCTATTAAGGATGAGAATCAGGCTGACAGGAAAAACTAGAAAGGACATTAAAGTCACTGATTTGAATGACTGGATGTGGGTGGCACAATCAGCCAGGACATCCAATGAATGCTGGTTGAGCAATTTGGGGCATCCCTACGCTAGTTCACACGGGGCGTGAGAGACAGGCAGATCTACATCACCAATAGGCGCAGCCTCCAGTATGCGTCCCTCCCCACCCTGAATGAGCGTACTGGGGGGACACACACCTGTGCCACTGTAAGGATGACACCTGGAGGACAGCGGTCAACTGAGGAGGTGGACTATGCTGGCCAGGAAAAGGGGTGCATAGAAGACTGACCTCCTCAATGCCACTTTGTGCTTTTAAATTCAACTTGAAAGTTCATGCTGTTTATAAGCAACTAAAAATTCTGGAAGGACATACTGGAAATGTTAATGGCAGTTATACTGGAGAAGAGGTGTGGCAGTGGAAGAATGAGAGCCACAAAGAGTCTTCTGCTTTTGATTCTTGACACTGTCATGTGGTTTAAAAAACAAGAACTCATCCACAACCAGGAGGGAACCAGGTCTTCGAGGGTTCTAGTTATGCGCAGTCTCTGTTCTTGACATTATGTATATACCTTATATACACCCTCATTTGTATGTTGTGTGTCATAATGTTTAATAATTAATTTCTTAGGTAATGTTAAGTGGAAGCAGGATGTTGAAAAAAATATGGTCTTAGAGCCAGAGGCAGAGGCATTACTTCGTGCCTAGCCACGAGGAAGCAGTGGGGGTGCAGACCACTAGGGGYCTCCCGCTGTGGGATGCCATTCAGTCTGCTTAGTCTGCGTCTCCGCTGGAGGATCTGGGACTAGAAAGACCAGAGAGAGCTTGAAGTATGCTTTGAAAACAAAGATCCTTCTCTCTCTTCAGCTGCAGGGACACCCATCTCTGCGCTTGTGCAAGTAGGAGGACTAAGACTTTAGGGGCGAAGAAGGACAAGCAAAAGTGCTGGGTGAGAGGCCCGCTTCTGGACCACAGTGGGACCCTGCTAAGGATGGGGGGGGGGCATTTAGCCCAGTACTTCTGTGCGTGTTTGGTTACTAAGGGTCTATTTTTGGCGTGGTGATTTTCATAAAGAGCTCCTCTGTTGAATATTTATACTCCATAATTTACAGTTTGGCTGTTAAGGAGACAAAGGCAAACACAAATTTGGTCCAGAAGTTCAAAGTTTGCCATCTGTTTTCCTATTGTATTTAGACACCAGCATGGAYGGCTCCAAACAAAATAAACAAATGCACCAAAAGATACAGCAGCAGTGTCTTTGATATCACCCAGGAAAACAACAGTGGGCCAAAACAGACTTGAACTTCTCCCTACAGGAAAAAAAGTAGTATTTTCTCTAACAACTCCTTAGAGGGACATCACTCTGGCTTCTTGTCTGCAAAAATAGCACACACCTCGGTGTGCTGAGTCCACCCAAGCCATCAAATTCACATTAAGAAGCAGGTATCGGCCTCGAACATCTGACAGCATGCAGCACCAAGTTGAAATGCAGCGAACCTTGGCACAGTCTACAACCTCAGCGTTCAAATCGAACACTTGCCGCTGGGAAACAGGTAGCACAGCAAATGGGCACAAAGATATGCCAGGACAACCGATTCCAGAGACAAAAAGAAGCCAACAGTAGATACTGCAAACCTCTATCTAGCGAGTATTTCATCAACTTTGCCCACTGAAAAGAAAAATAATTGGTCGGAAAGCTGTAATTGTATTATGTTTAATATTCATGGTTGGGCTGGAGGACTGTTCCAACACTCCCTCTCTGCAGCCCCTCTCTAATGAAAATCACACCATAGGAGCCGGCGCTAGCCCGCCAATTAAAACAAAAGACACCAGAACCTTCCAAAGACTCCAGCAGAGGAGCATCCATCTGATGGGCAGGAAAACGTGCTGGAACTGAGAGGGAGGCACGCTCTGGTTGGTCCTGTGTTAAGAGCTTTGAATAACTTATTATAACACTTGCAGATGGAGYGAATGCGACGCTGATGCCCCACTTGCGCACTCTCAAGCAGCAGGCGGTGGACCACAAGCCACCACAACTTTCTATTTGTCAGGCAGGAAGGAAGCTGAGAGACTCTTTAATTGGGGGCCACAAGTCAGGGCTCACTTCCTATTGGTCTGGATTAAATAGTCCCATRTGATAATAAGGTAAATTGTATTTGGTGGCAAGGCTGAAGCCTATTCAGACTCTGGCTCAGCAGTTTCATTAAGAAGGACCCGACCTTCTGCTATATTTCCATCCAGAAAATAGAGGAAATAAGCAACAAAGCATTAAAACAGGCTTTTTTTGCTTATGACCAAATTAACTGAGAAAACTGGTGTATATTTCTTAAAAAGAAATCAATACATGATTCTGTTTGATCTTACTGAACCTGAGCTATTAAAAGAGCATTTTAAAATATAACCTTACATACCAAAATCAGTGGTTTTATCTGCACAGCACTGATGATGGCCTTCAATGAAATGATTCGTTTTAAATAGCGCCTAGAAGAGTACGTATTTTCAGGCTGACCTGCCCAATTTTTTCCGACTAGGCTAGTGCTTTCTGTGTTTTAAAGCTGGGTCTCTGATGTTTAGAGTTCTCTGTATACGGAACATAAAATCAGCATTGTCAAGAATAACATGTCATGTGGACAGGTCCCTGAATTTTTCTGGACCTTCATTTCCTTAGATGGTCTTGAAGAACTCTGTTAATCCTCAAATTCTGTGACCCATGACAAGCCGGCCCAAGATACTGCCTGTGGCAATGAGGGTCATGGATATCATGTCAAAACAATAAGGCACATGATCCCAAGTTGGAAGCACTGCCATTTTTTAAATTTTAAAACTTTTATGACTATTTTGTATATCCATGTTGTACATAAAGACTCTAAAACAAGTTTTTGACTTTCATTTACAACGATGTTGTGCAGCATGCCTGACATTCGGAAGCTTACTGTGTAATAAGTAGTATATTAAAATCAAAAACTGTACATAATCAAGGCAGTGTGGTGCTGGCAAATGTGGACATAGCTCAATGGAACAGAAATGAGAGTTTAGAATAAACTTTAAATTTGTGGTCAAACTTTCAAGAATAGGGGCTAAGAAAATTCAATGGGAAGAACAGTTTTCAACAAATGGTGCTAGACCAGTTAGATGTCCACATGCAAGAGAATGAGGAGGAACCCCTGCCCCACACCTGCTACAGAACTGCACACCTGAGAGTAAGAGCCAGAACTACGAACAAACACAGCAGCAAATCTTTGTGACCCTAGGTTAATGGATTCTTATACATGACACCAAAGCCCAAGGAACAAAAAAGCAGATCAAGCTTCATCAATATTAAAAACTTCTGTGCTCAAGAAAGAGGAAAGAAAGAAGCCCACAGAATGAAAACATTTGCAAATCATATATCTGACAAAGGATTTGTATCTAGAAAAAATATGTAAACAACTCAGCAATTAAAAAAAAATAATTCAGCTAAAAATGGATTTGGATAGACAACTCTCCAAAGAAGAGACACGAACGGGCAATAAGCACCTGAAAGGCTGTCCAACACCACTAGCATAGGGGAGCCACATCAAAACCACAAGGAGGCAGCACTTCACACTCATTAGGACAACTCCAGACAACAACATTAAGTGCTGGTGAGGATAGAGAAAACGGAGTCTGCTTACAGTGTTGGCAGGTSTCTAAAATGGTGTGGCCACTTTAGAAGAGAGTCTGCTAATTTGTCAATAGTGAAACGTAGAGTTACCATACACTTCAAGTCCACTCCCAGGTATACAGAGCAAAGAGTATTGAAAACATGTCCACATGAACTATGGTAACAGCAGTAAACATAATAACCAAAAGGTGTAAACAACCCAGATGTCCATTAACTAATGAATGGATAAGCAAAATGTGGTCTAACTAAACAGTGGGATATTATTTGGCCATAAAAAGGAACGATGTGCTGGTACATGCTATAAACTGGGCTTCTCTTGAAAACAGCGTGCTGAGCAGGAAGCTAATCGTAAAAGATCATATACCATTCCTTGTACAAAATGTCCAGGAAAGAAAAATCCATGCAGAAACAGAGGAGACTAGTGGTTGCTCAGAGCTGCAGGCATTGGGGGAGATGGGCAGTGATGCTAATGGGTACAGGGTTTCTGTGAAGGTGTTTCAAAATTGATGGTGCTGATGGCTGCCTACCTTGTGAACTCACAAAACCCACTATTTGGTGCTATTTAAATCTCTGAATTATATGGTATGTTAATTCTATCTGAATACTAGGAGAGGAGAGTGTGGGATCTGTTGGTTCAACGAATGTTKCCTTAAGCAAGTGACAGCTTTCACTCTGATCAAAGCCCTTAGCGCCAACTTTTGCTCTAGTAAGCTCCATCCTAGATCCCTTCTTTCACTGGGAGAAGGAGCAGATCACAGATGAGAAGACTGAGGGCCAGARAATAGGAAGGCATTTCATTTAACACAGCTCTTGCCTGTCAACTACTTGTTTATTTAAATCATTTACAAGAAAGTGGGAGTCCTGATTCTGGCCAAGACAGAGTGAGCCCACCACTGCTCAACCCATGGAGGAAAAACAAACACCTGTGGCTGCTAGGAACAAACTCAAGCCCCCAGACTGTGAAGGAGAGTCACAGCGGGGGCACAGCTGGCATGGGAGGTGTTCCCCAACCTTGCCCGTTCTCCTGCTGCTTGCCCTGAGTAGCTCCCACAGGAGAACCATGTGGCGCAGCAGGAGCTAAAATTCCAACAGAAACTACATCTTTCTGACTACAGGAACCAATCAAAGGGGCCCCTGAAGTCCACAAGAGGAGGGTGGGAGTGCTTAYGGGGTTTCTTATGCTCTTTTATGGCTTTGCCGCAAGCACAGTCCCCAGTTACAGTGGGGTGGTGGGGGTGATGCAGGAAGGGAAAACTCTTACAGAAACCCTGTCTTCTGGTTATAGGACCAGGGAAAGGAGCCCCTGAGGACTGGAAAGCTTAAGGACCGGGAGAAAAGGAAACTGAAAAAGCAGATTCCATAATCTTGTGCGAGAACCACGTGAGTCCCAGTCTTATCCCTGAGTATCCAGGACAGACCCAAGGTGTATCCGTGAAGCCTGTAAGACTTCAACTAAGATTAAACCACTGCCAAGCCTCAGACGAACCCCTACATAGCAATGTCCAAGACCAACAAAAACCACAGAGCAAAGGTTCTGGAAATTGAGCTGACACTGAATTCACCACCACAGACAATATGTGCAGTCTGAACCTAATTGGGGTGACTGCCTATTAAAAAAAAAAATTCTCCAGAGGGTTATGTAACAGGATCCAAAATATGCAACATTCACAATGTCCAGAATACAATTCAAAATACCTGACACATCATACACAAAAAGAAACAGGAAAATGTAATCCACTTTCAAAGGAAAAAACAAGTAACAGATGTCAACCTAAGGTAACCAAGACTTGGGGAATCATAACTTAAAAGCCCCTACTATAACCCTATTCCATAACAGTAAAATGAGTAAAAGTGACACTCTTAGTAGAGAAATGGCAACTATGAAAAAAGAACCAAATGGAAGTTTTGAATCAGAAAATACAAAATCTGAAATAAAATCTCTCTGGATGGGCTTGACAGCAGAATGAAGATGACAGAGGAAACAATCAGTGACCCTGAGGATGACCAGTAGAAATCATAAACTCTGAAGAACAGAGGGCAGTGTGGGAAAGCAAATGAGCAGAGCATTGGTGACCTGCTGGGCGAGATCAAAAGATCTCACACTCATCACTCAAGTTCCTGAAGGAGAATTTTTATTTGAGAAAGAAATTAGTGCAGAGAAACTACAGGAGAAAATAATAATTGAAAGCTTTCCAAATTTGGTGGAAGACATAAATTTATAGACTCTAAATCTCAATGAATCCCAAACAGAGTTCAAACTAAAATCACAATTACCACCACCAAAATGATCTATTTGTTCTTGGTACCCATTCAAGCTTCTAATAAATATCCCAATTCCTAAGCTATTAATTCATTTATGCCTTCAGTGAATAAATATATATGTTCACACCAGGGKTTGTAAAAAGGACCACTATCTTACGTAATGTTTGAAAATGCTGTCAGCTGTTCATGATGCCACTGGAATGACACGCCCTGGTTTCACAGATGCGAATGTGCTAGGATCAATATAGACAGACAAACAGTGTTAGACACCATCGAATCCAAGACAGACACTGTGGTCAATAGCCAGACACACTGTCCGCTTGACATCTAACAGCCCGCACCTGCAAGAAAAGATGCACTATGCCTTTGGAAAAACTCAGTTCTCYGGGCTGATAACACTGTAGACTCACACCACCTGCCCTCCTCATGGTGCAGGTCTTCTCTCCCAGCAAGAAAAAAAAGCACAATCTAACAGCGACTCAGTTTCAGACCAATCACTCTCTTACCCTCCCCATCAGACTCTTGCTTTCTTTCTGGAAAGGGTGATAGGCTTAAATTAAAAATGAAGAAATACCTAGCCTATTTCCCCTCCCTACCCCCAAAACAAAACCAAACAACAACAAATTTATAAAACCCCATCCAAGTTTTGTAAACTACTCAAACTGTTTTTCTTACTTTTTTTTTTTTTATATTTATTTTTTAGTTTTCGGCGGACACAACATCTTTGTTTGTATGTGGTGCTGAGGATCGAACCCGGGCCGCATGCATGCTACCGCTTGAGCCACATCCCCAGCCCCTGTTTTTCTTACTTTTAAAGAATGACTTTCTTTAGTTTTGCCTTAACCACAGACAGTTTTATGTATTTCTAGAGTTTTATGTATTTCATTCTCAAGTTCTTTACACAGTACTAAGAGAATGCAGAGGCAATTAGATTTTTAAATAAAACAGGGAGGTTCCAGGGGTTCTGAAAATCACATCAGTCACTAGTAACAGCCAAGGACATAGTTCTCACAGCATCTGATCCTTGTTCCTTCTGAAATAAAACACGAGCACTGGAACTTTGGTGTGCATGTCCATTGAGATCTTAAGCCTCTACCACCTTTAGAAGATGCATTCCTTCCTTTTTACAAATGTACAATTTTTATTTGAAAACAAAGTACTTTTTAAAAAAGTTTTTTTAGTTGTAGGAGGACACAATGCTTTTATTTTATTTATCAATTTTTAAGTGGTGCTGAGAATCAAACCTAGAGCCTTACACGAGCTAGGTAAGTGCTCCACCACTGAGCCTCAGCCCTAGCCCCAAAACAAAGTATTTTTTTTTTTTTTAAGAGAGAGAGAGAGGGCTGAGGTTGTGGCTCAAGCGGTAGCGCGCTCGCCTGGCGTGCGTGCAGCCCGGGTTCGATCCTCAGCACCACATACAAACGAAGATGTTGTGTCTGCCAAATACTAAAAAATAAATATTGAAATTCTCTCTCTTATTATTTATTTTTTAGCTTTCAGTGGACACAACATCTTCGTTTGTATGTGGTGCTGAGGATTGAACCCGGGCCGCACGCACGCCAGGCGAGCGCGCTACCGCTTGAGCCACATCTCCAGCCCAAAACAAAGTATTTTTAATCCTGTATTTCAAGTGCTTGTTGAAGACTTAAGATTCTGATTCATAGCGCTTTCTTACATGTGAAGGCCAGCCCCTGATGCAGGGCAGTGGTCAAACAGCCCTAGGACTGGCCCTGTCTAAATGCTGCGCTGGATACCCAGTCCAAGTTCTTAGTCACCATTCTTTTTCATCCCGAGGGACAGAGGGATTTTTTTTTTTTTTTTAATGCAACACCAGTTTACTAACGAAATTTATTTAGCATGGTCAGATTTGAGCTTCAAACTGACCAGAGAGGCCTTTCATACCATACATGTGACTCTTCTTCTGGCAGTGGATGCATGATAAGGCAGCTTTATCAGGTGCACGAAGGACTCCTGACTGACAAGCTGATGTGCAGCTCACCATGGTCAGGACAGTCTGCTTTCACCATTTTCTTGGAGCTAACTGAGCTACACTATGCACAAGCAGAGGTCTCTTCTCTGCAATACCATTTGGGTTTCCTGTGAGTCTCACTGTGGCTCAACACCTAAATGCTCACACTGCAAACAAATCTGGGGCTTAATCTACAATCCCAAGCCTTTCCATTTGGATGTCCCCAAAAGCCCTCTATATTTGCTCTTTTGAAAACAAGAAGCTACTTGGTTCCTGTGTGAAGATTCTATGAGATAAGCTTGGAGCAATCTGATTTGTTTCATTTGCTGAGCCATGTGTAGGGGCTACTTAACAAGACTAGATTTTATAGAGAAAAACTGGACACACACTGAACTCAAGAGTTCAATGCTTAAGCATCAAAATATCAACCACTTTCAGAGACCTTGAGGAAAACAAAATGACAAGAATATGGTTTTCCAATGAAGCGTACATACATCATTTTTTGCTCTAAACTGGAGGTGGGAAGCTACTTGGGTGAAGGTTGGGAACTGAAAATATTATTTAATAAAATAATTATTTTTGCAAGCTATTGCACTGGTGGTACAGAGGTCTGGGATTTGGCAAGGAGGAGCGCCTGCCTCATGAGCTGATGCCCACCACTGAGCAGCCCACCACCTGCAGCCCGGGGCCGGGCCCAGGGGAGGGGCGCCAGCAGACCCTGGCCTCCAGCCACACTACCTCTCTTCAGGGTACTGGATCAGACACAGCAGATAACCAGCCAAAAAAAAAAAAAGGCTGAAAGAAAAGGAAAAGAAAGGACAGGGGGGAGAGGGAGTGGGGAACAGGAAAAACCTAAAATTTGGACTCAGAGGGTCTTTCAAACACTTTAATCCTTTCGTGCTGATGGTTCCTGGAGCGTCCGGGGCTGGCACTGGACCCGTTACCAGGAAAATCCGACTCTCTAAGCCAATGTGTTAAAGAGAAGGCTGCTAATCAGCTAAATAGAAACTGGAATCTGTTCACATCAAGTCTCTTTTCTCCCCCATCACCAGAGGGACACCATAGTGCTCTGAAACACACTCTTGACATCATTTGGCAGGCAACCCTGTTTTGTTGAACATGATTCATCCCTTAGGTTATTGTTTTTAATATTAGAAAGTGAGCTTTTAAATGCCAAAGAAATTTTGCAGCAGGGGGACAAAGGATATTCCAAGTGGTCTTGCTGGACCTTCCACCAACTGTGTCCACCAACTGGCTGAAAAGAAAGCCGTCCCACGGTGCTTCAGAAATGAAGCAGAGGCGTAGTGAGATCCAACTATTACCTAATACAAACCTGGGGTCTCTGTCAAGACCATGGATCCGATGGGTCAGAACTCAGGTGGGCAAAGCTACAGGGTGAGAACATAAGAGTGAGAGCACACACCAACCGGCACCCTGGAGGCTGGGGGCCAGGCCTCTGCCAAAACTGCAGTCCAACTCAAACCTACCTCCTATCCATGTTGCCACTGACCATAAGGTTGGGAGGGCTGTCCCTGAGGTTGACACAAGTGAAGTCACCGAGTGTGTTACCCAGCTTTGAGAGGCAGCGTTCAGCTTCCAGGCTGTACACGAGGATCTGAAAGAGGAAGAAAAACATGCGGGTGCTCAGTGCCTCAGATCACATCCCTTCAMCACTGTTCAGGGCATGAGCATTCCACTCAGGTCCTATTGAAGAAGGTGGTCTTGCTGCTTCATCTCCTGACCACTTCCAGGTTATTCAAAGGAGAGGGGTAGGGCCAATAGAAAAAAACAACAGGAAATGCAAAGAAAAGAAGAGAGGAAAATCCAAAGAGTAGCTCAGGCCAAGTGCAAATTCATGGGACACAGAGAGAAATGCCAAGTGGGAAYATTAGGAATCCTAATTTTAGATATTCTGTGCATGGAAGGCAGGTGCTCCACCACTAAGCTATATCCCCAGCCCACGTTTCCCAATTCAACAGCAAATGAAGGACGGAAACTAAAGGTCATAGATTGCTTCTGATTTAGAAGTAATGGGAACTTGAACAAGTGATGGGGAAGCTTGCAGGGATCCAGCTTGGGTTCTCTTCCTGTACTTGCACCACATAAGGTAAAAGCATGGACGGTACAAGCATCAGGAGGATGAAGCCTGTACTTAACCCTCAGATGGTTCCTTTGGACTGAACTGCAAACCCAAACCCAAACCTTCTTCCAACTCCCTCTTGTTGCTTTGGGGAGCTCTCTTTTGTAAGGTATGGAAGCAAATAAGAAGATGCCTGAGCTCTCTAGACAGGGCATCTGTCATTCTGGAACACTTCTGTGCCTTCTCCCCTGCAAAGTTGGGGTGGGATAGGGGTAAAGGATGATTCACAAGAATCTTCCCCAAAGATCAAGTCTTTTGCTTAAA